TTGGTTATTAAAATTTCAGAGGGATGTACCAGTAGTTTTAAAGGCATTCCAAGCACGAGAAACAACACTTTTGTTGATCCCGAACTCTTCGCGACACTGGTCACATTGCGCCCCTCCTCAAGCTTCCCAATCATTCTTCCTCAAGTAAAGTCATCTAAGTGATTTCTTGAAGACATGTTTCACAAAACAAATCACTTGCACTTGCAGCGAATGTCTTTAACTACAGTGCTCTTCATCCTTTTATCACAGTATTGACCTGCGCTCGCCGACCCACAAGGTTTACGTACACTTACATCACCTACGACGTTTTATTTCTAAAATTTGCATACAAATAATCTTTCTACTGAATTACGTGTGCATTATACTGCAATTTCATGGCTATCTTATACTTTGTTGGGGAGCTGTGGTCGAAAAACCACTTGTTGCTTAAGTTTTGCGCACCAGTGTACTAATTAAAAAGTGCAGACGATGTTTTGAGTTATGAAATCAGATGCAAAAATGTATTTTCTCTGAATAAACACACCTTTTTCCCCCAACAGATTCAGATTTCTGACCCCCAAAATATAGGGGGTAGCTGCAATCTGAGAAATATGGTCCCCATAGTTTGGTCAGGAAAGCAATGGTTCCCTTAATGATAATTTTACTTTATGTGTATTTTGTTACATAATAATCTTAATGACATGATTCATCTGACCAGACAATTGTCTTCCACTTATCAAAGGTCTGAATATGTTTTATCAACGGAGACACAGAAGTTGGGTGCCTGTTGTACTGTCTCATTTCCAACAGTGTCCGATGAGCTGTGTGTTCTGAAACACACTTGGACTTAAATTGTATTGGGCTGTCAGCTGAGCCTCTGTCTGTTGCCGATTTTGTTTAATCATTTATCTACTTCGCATAAATACTTATTACAGCAGATCATGGTATAAATCATAACTTAAAAAATGCAAAGAAAAAAAAAAAAAATTAAAACACGATGCATTCAAGTAAAAACTTGTATATGTCTTGTATAGGTTATATTTATTGCAAACACCTATTACAGTAGAACTCCAATTATCCGAACTCCAACTATCCGAATTGCCGATTATCCGAATCGCTTTCAGAATTCCTATGGAAATATAGTAAAAAGATAAGTTTTTCTTTTTTCTTTCTTTTTTTATATGAATAAAATAAAATAAAATGTTAGTAAAGCCAAGTAAAGATTTATGCAGAGAAAGTTTACAGGATAGGACAAAGATAAATAAAAGGAATAACAAAGGAGGGGGAATCCAGTGACAAAAGAGCACATGGGAGACCGTATGAATAAGGATGTTAGTTGTGGAATGTTATCTTAGGAATGTTGTTTGTTGATAAAGAAATGTGAACGCTAGACCCCCTGGTCAGCTTGCTAGTGCCAATTGGCACTTGTCAGGCGCTTTACCAAAGACAACTTTTAAGGATGCTTTTAGTAGAGGGAAAGGATGAAGAAGGTGTGTTGGATAACCACAAAAAGATAAATTTATATAATTGTGTTTACATGGTTGCGGAAGCTTGGAATTTGGTTAAAGATGTCTCATTAAGACGTGCACGGAACAAGTTAAAAAAAAAGAAGTTAAAGAAAAAAAATTAAGAGACAGAAGATGAGGATCTCTTGAGGAATTCAGAAACATATTTTTGAAAATTCCTGGATGTTCAGATGTCAGTGCTGAAGATATAGGAGAGTGGATGATGTGTGATTCATCAGACTGTGGATTTCAAATTTTAAATGATATGAACTTATTGAAAGTGTGATGGAGAAAAGTGTCGATGAAGAAGATGACCCTAATGCTGAAATTGAGGAAGACACAGGGCCGTCAGCTAGTGTAGCATTTGCTGGCCCTGAAACTGCATTGAAGTGGATGGAGCACCAACCCGAGTGTGACCATATGCAACTTTTCACTGTCAAACGGATGCGCAACTTAGCTGCCCGAAAACGGATAAAGGCAGTTAAACAGCTTACTTTAACTGAGATGTTTAGCATGTAATAACTTTCATTTACTGCAAGGTGTGTACACATTATTCATAAAAAGATCTCTTTCCTTAAAAACAGTTCTTTTCCCTCAATTCCACTATACATACAGTAATTATTTAAAATAAGTATTTTTTAAAAAAAAAAATCCAATTATCGGAATTTTTGATTATTCGAATGGAGTCTGTTCCCAATTGATTCGGATAATTGGAGTTCTACTGTATTTGGGATATAATTACTGTAGCTACAAAGTTTAACTACCAATCGAAAGATAAATATTATGTTATGTTTAAATCTCATTAATGAACATTTAATGTAAAAATTTTTTTAAGGTAGCGGGGCACCTAAATGTTATTTACCATTTTATTACCTTTTTTAAAATGTTATTTAATTAATCATTGATTTGGAAAAAAAACTGATTTATGGATAAGAAATACGCAGTTAAAATTTTTTTTGGTCTAATTTAGAAAATTATAATAATTAATTTGTAATTTTACTTTTAGGTATGTCAAAATAAAATGTGTATTGAATATATATTGATACATATCGTTTGAACACTATGTAAGAATTGTTTTGAGTATTGGTACTTCAGTACTTGGTTGTGAAAATTAGTATGTTATTCGTAATTGCGAATACGATGTGTGATATTAGTATATTACTATAATAGAATACTTTAAAAGGTGGTTGAGTTACTTTAAAAGTTCTTTATATTTCTTTAAATTAATGTTTAAACATCTAAAAAAACTAGTCATTTTAATTTAAGAAATTTATTAAATTTAATCTTCCTTCCAATTTTTCCTGTTTTCACTTATTTAAGAATGATTCATTAAATGGCGTGGAATTATTATTTAAACTAGATTGAAATCATAAGCTGTTTAAAATTTTAACTTAATACTTGAAATCATTATCGAAAAGAGTTTCTTCCACTTCAGTTGGAAGAAACATTTCTTCCGTGGCGTTTTTTTTCACTTCGGACAAAGTTGGCCTTCCCTGTTTTTTAATTAATTGTCCCAAACAGGACACTGTCAAAACTGGTTAGAGGACCCAAATGTAGGACTGTTTTCTTGACAAATTAAATGGCACTACATTTCCCAGTCTAGGCTACCTCCATATTTTGAGGGTCAAAAATCTGAATCTGTCTAAAAAACAGCTTCTTTATTTGGATAAAATTCATTTTTGTATTTTAATTTGTAAGTTGAAAAATTGCTTGACCTGATTAGTTAGCTTGTTTAAAGTTTATTTCTTAAATCAGGAAGATTATATCTTATCGGATCAAATTGGATTTTAAAGATAGATTTAATATCCAATTGCATTTTCCCTTCGTTTATTACATTGCCTAATGGTGTATTTTAAAATGTTGATGGATTAAAGTGAGGAAATGCAGATAGTTTTACAGTTGTAAGGAAATATGAGTTATCATGTTTTCAAAAATTTTTTTTCGTTATATTTGTTGATATTCTTTATACAAGATAACTGAAAAATAAGTATAAGCAGCTGAACAAAGGGCCAATCTTGGAGCTGTTGGAAACACATTAATCTCTGTCAATATATAAATGGGTTAAGTAGGCGTTCATATTGTATTGTTATGCTGGATAAAGCTATTGTTGAAATGGTTTTTAAGTGTTTATTTTTTCATAATCAAGGTTGTTGGGTTCCAAGTCATGATGGATGCAGCAGTGGTAACAGATGTGTTGAAACCAGGCGTGAACCAAATGTACAACTTCTTTTTTGCTGTTGTGAAGGATCTATGTGCAATCAGAAGATGACTATATCTACTAGTCTTTTTACTCCAACTGCTGGTAAGTGTATTTGTATATGTTAAAAGAGTTTTTCAGTTCATAATTCCTTTTTTTTTTTAAATTTTTATTTTCATATGATCGGGATATTGATAATGTAAGAATAAGATCTTCATACGAAATATTTAGAAATAATAAGAATTCATGTTTTAATTTTTTTAAATATTATTTTGCTATTAAATGTAAACATTCACATCACAGCCTAATTGGAAAATTAGGCTCTTTTCTAACTATTGCACCATTGCCATCATTGCACCAGTCTATTTGGAAAGGCTCAAATATTTTCTAATTTTGAGCTTTTTAATTTGTAATGCTTTTTGTATTGAATTGATTCCACATACCTTTCGGCTAACAAGAAAATATGTCAGTCATTGCTAAATTAGCCTGATATATTTTAGATTGTTTGCTGTGAGCCTCAAGTAGTAAAAGCTTATTGTAAATGGTCTTATCAGTGGTCACAGGTAGCTCGCTAGAGGTAGCAAAACTACTGTAGTCACTTCTTTTTTCGTAGTTTGTAATGTAGTGTGCTGCTTTTTGTTTGGTGGTTGCAAAGTATTGGTGCGGAGTGTGAGATAGCAAGATTATCTTTATCAACAATCCAAAACTTTCATTAGGACATGATTATCAGTATTTACATTACAGTATTTGATTATGCATTAAACAAAAATGTGCTTTAATACTTAAATTTCCCAGAAAATTAAAACATGATGATAGAACAATCAAGCAAACAGTCAGCAAAAAAAAAAAAATGGCAAGCCATGATATCAAAACATCTCTAACTATCATACAAAAATATAGTTTCATCATAAACAAATTTACAGTACTCTGAGTATTTTGCATATCATTGAAGAAGTCAGGGCCCGCCCTAAGGACTTCAAACTACTCGCCAGTAAATTAGCCAATTTTCAAAAGTCTTAGCCAAAGGCAAATCTTAGCCAATTTTTATGATTAGTTTTTCTCCCATAGAAAACTTAAATTTTAAATACAAATTTACTATAAATTGAACTATTTTAAAAATGCAAATTTAAATCGAGAGTAATTTCATTGTCGGGGAGGAGTAAATGAGCAATGAATGGATAAGAATCCTTTTATTAGAATTAATTTTATTAGAGGCCATTTTGTAGACGATAAAAAAAAAATGTAGTAAAATGTAAGAAATGTAATTTTTCGGTGGAAAAAATCGTTCACCAATATTTTCGCCGAAACACAATTTGTTTCGCCGAATTTATGATTTTATAGTATTTGGCGAGGTGATGAATGCTTAGTGTGAGTCCTGCAAGTAAAGAAAAAGCAACAACTTTAGCTGTAATTTTTATTAAAATGTTGAAAAAGTAATAAGTTATGAAAGTAGTATGTTACTTTTTCGGAAATAATTTCACAGCCTTGTACTTTATTTTTTCACCATAATGGGTTAATGAAAGCACAATAGGAGGAAAAATCTGATTGATTAGTCAAAATTCTGTATATTTTCAGTACTTTTTGTTAAAAAAAGTTATGTTGTGAGTAGTTCAATACAAAACAACAGTAGTTTGTAGTGGTTCCTTACAGCTACTTTTAATGTTAGTTTAGTAAGGAAACAATTTTCAAATGCAACTAATTTTTATAATTTGATTGGTGCAAATCTTTCATAGATTTGTCAAAGAACATGATAAGAATGCCTCTGCAGTTGAGCCTTAATAGGTATTACACTTGATGCTAAAGACCAGCAAGTTTAGTTATAAAAGTTGGCAACAGTTATTTGTTTCATTATTTTTTGCAAATCTTGTAATCAAAATTGTACATTTAATTAGATTTCGCGACTATAATTGTCCCTGTTTTCATAAATGCAAGATGACAGCTACTTTATAGGTTCATGATGAAAAAAATTGAATATTTTCTGGTCAATATATAATACTTATTTTAGTGTGATTGAGAAATATAAAAATAGGGATTTTTAGTCGTGTGTAAGCTTTAACCGAAAAGTTGACCTTTCAAAGTTGTCTCTCTTTAATTTAAATTTCCATACCTTCAAATATGAATGTACAGTACAAAGAAAAAGAAGCAATTTATATCACCCTGATTAACCTTTGATCTAATGATCAAATTTTTATCTACTTGAACCCAATCTTAATGAAGGGATTGACCTTAAATATGCAAGTCAATTTCTGCATATAATAAAGTTTCGAAATCAGACACAAAAAATACTGTCTCTGAATAAACATACTTTTTTATCAGTTGATTTAGATTTCTAACCCTAAATGCATAGGAGGTTGCTATAATCAGGGAAATATGGTCCAAATAATTTGACCAGAAAAGTGGTCGAAAGTTAAAAACCTTAATGTTAATTTTACTTTTTGCGTGTTTTGTTATACTTCGGGAATATTTTGAGTAAATTAAAAATTTTGCACACACTTATAAAGTTTGATTTCTCAGAAACTATTTGACTGATTTTGTTCAAATTTTGTATTTTCCCATAACAAATTACATTTTTAAAATGATGTACAAATTTGTATACCTTACAATTAAAAATATTTCAACAAATATTAAATAAAATGATAAAAAATAATGCATTATTATTAAAAATAATTTTTTGCACTGAATTATCTTTGGATAAACAAATTGTATAATTGTGTGCAAATATTTTCTAATTTGCTTAAAAAGTTCTCGAAAATATGGGGAAATACACAAAAGGTAAAATAAGCAAAATTTTCCAAATGATATGCCACAATATATCTACTAAAAGGATCAGTTACAGCTAGTACAAGTCCAAGATCTTTTATAGGACCTTAAATGTTAACACTAATGAATTTACCTGGACAAGTAGGTACTTCCATATTCTTTAAAGGTACAAGTTTCACAGGATAAGGTTTTATGCAGATACAGGAATCATAAGTTAACATCAAATTTTCAGTATCAGAGTAATATTTATCCTTTCCAATAATAATGTTTAGAGAGTAATTCAAATGGTTTCTTAACAGCAGTCAGAGAAATGCGGGATATTTGTAAATATTTATCCTTTATTGCTTTATGTGTAACAATTAGTTCAACGAATTGAATTTTACTTCAATCTTTGCGATGTATACATATATTATCAGGTTATATTAAAAATTTGTGAAATATTGCAGCAAACCGAAAGAAATTTAAAATTGAAAGAAAACTCGCTTAGTGTTATTAGCCATCTTTTTATTATATCAGCCAGAAAAGTAGACTTGTAAAATTTTAAAGGTTTTGAGTTTAACAGGTTAGTAAAATTTGGATTGAATAAATATTTAAATGCTGTTGCACCCTTTTAGTTTGCCATAAGCTCTACCTTAATGATGCTGTAATTTTGTTTAGCTCTATTAAGGGATTTGCTGAAACAAGCTACTGAATGATAAACATCATACTTTTGTAACAATATAGCTGAAGCAGCAGATTTGCTTGCTTTTTAGTTGCAATATATAATTTTCTTAAACTAACTTTTCTTCAACATTTATGTTTCATTGACCTTTTTGTTAATCTCCTATGACTTTGATTTTATCTTTGACTTCACTATTTAAAAGGAACTGGAAAAATCATCTTTAACTAAAGTGCAATCTTAAACAGTATCTGTGGACCCTTTATTTGCAAAACGTTTCCAACTTATGCAGTCCTAACCAACTGGTGGTTCTTCACGTAAAAAGTTGTATTTTACGTCTTCTTCGCATAGCAAAACCGCTTTTTCGATGTTATTAGTTAGGGAAATAGTGTAGTAAGGATAACATTCCTGATCTTTCCCTTTTGTTGAACCGGCAGTGGTTTAAGACTAGAGCTGGATAAATACCAATTTTTTTGCTATTGGGTACTAACCCATATTGATAAAACTAAGTATCAGTTACTAAAAGCGGATACTTTTTTAGTATCTGATTCACAATTATGAATAAGGTTTTCTTTTGAGAAGAACTGTTACAGCTAAACTTTCTACTTTCCTGTTTATTAACAATGTAATGCTCATTAAGTTATGAAATGGTCAATACCACATTTTAATTTGTTGTGTTAGGAACAATAAAATTAAGATAATTTAGATTCATAAAATTACTGGTTATAATGTGAGCATACAACCAATCCTTAGTTGGGAGGTGTCCTTAGTGGTATAGAATAACATTTCTGGTCATGGGTTGCTATGTTCTTCTCAATCCTTATCTGTGCCCTTCCTTTTTTAGATGTTTGTTCCTATAGTTTTAATTGACCCTTTATTTATATTGTAAAAAATATGTATTTTACTAGTTACAAGAACTTTTTTAGTACAGTTGAGCCTGTTTATCTCAAACCTCTTTATCTTGAAAACCTCTATGGCTCAAAATTTCTAAAAATCCCTATATTTACCATCTAAAATCAATGTATTTTCAATGTTTATGTCAGAGAAAATAGTGACTTTGTTAAGTCATGACAAATTCTTGGAATTAGTCATGGAAAATCATGAAAAGTCATGAATTTGAAAATCTGAAATATAGCAGATACCTTGTTCTTGGAATTTCAATCACTATCCCTACACTTCCTTTACTAGAAAGGAATATAATGATTCTGGTTGTAAGTGAGGGATTGATGAATAGGATGGAGTGACCACCAGGGGTTAGCTTTTCAACATAGATAAGACAGCTAGGAATAGAAATTAGTTTTTGCCTCCAAATTGAAACCGATGGATTGAAGGATAATAAGAAATTTTAGTGAACTGTAGAAAACAGTCGGTACACAAACTTGTAGATAGCATCCATATTCTTTATTCAAACTTGTAGATAACATCTATGAAAAAAGTTCTTTTCCAAAAATAAATCTGTTGGATGCCATTAGAATGACTGCTATGTCTGGAGAAATGTGTCTCTAAGAGCTATCTAAAATGGTTTTAAAAGCACTGGTTTTAAGAATAGCTGTGAAGAGGATGAATAGGAGGTTAAAGGCATCAGTAAGGAGCAACTGTTGAGGCTGAAAATGCAGTGCCATATTTTCAAGAATGGAATGCAGTAAAATCTGGATTTAATGTTGACATTAATTTTGAAGATTTTTACAAGTGGACAACTGCCTGACAACATGAGAAACATTGACAGATGTGGAAATCATAATGTCAAAGGAATATCAGAGGAAGAGGCTAAACATATAATATTGATGGATCAAAAGTGAGTGCAAAAGAGGCAGAAAAAGCTGTAGAACTCTTACAAACTATTCTTGAATCTCAGGAAAATGTCGGCAATAAGAGATTTGCTGTTCTTTCTAACCTTAAGAGAATTATCAAAACAAAGAAGGTTAGACGTCAAAAATCCTTGAAAAATTATTTTCAGTGTTAAATGTATGTAAATTTTTTTTTGTGTAAATAGATGTATGTGGTATAATTATTTTGCAGAAATGCTTACTAAAAACAATTAAAGAACTTTTAATGTAATTTCTTAGTTAAATTTAATTTTTTAAAGTATCTGCATAACTCGAAACCTCTTTATCTCAAAATTATCGCCTTTACCCGTGAGATTCGAGTTAAACGGGTCCTACTGTACAATTATCAGTTTTTTTTCTAAAATTTGTCAGTGATACATTTTTGTACCTTTTGTCATCATTCAAGGTAAGAAAAAAAATTGAATTCTGCTGTTAAATTCATTTGTTCTCATTAATTAATAATTATTATTATTAATATGAAACAGTGCAAAACAAAAAATGCATTTCTTACTGTCAATAATAACTGTTATGGTAGTTTTATTTTATTTTTAAGTTGGCATGTTAAAATTGTTGAATAGAATTTGGCCTTAAATAAAAAAATTTTTTTTAGCTATTTCTTTCTAAAAATTAAAAGTTTAATTTTAAAAATATTATGAAATAATTACATAAAAAACTGAGAGATTTTTTTGCTGAAATTTTTACAGCTGCCATGAGCAATAAGATCTGGTTAATTTTTGATATTAAAAAAATGCAGTATTAGAACTCTAATAATGTTTATTATAAATAAGTTATGTATGTTTTTTTTTTGCCTACTAGTTTCTTGTTTTTAGTGAGTTTCTTGTTTTCAGTGACCAAAACAAGCACAGTAGCACCTGTTAGTCGAGCTTCTAATAGTCATGATGAAGTCATTCATATTTTGGTTTACACTCTTCTGCCTATTCTTGTCATAGCATCTTTTATTTCTGTTGGTTACTTGTGGTACAGAAAACACAAGATGAGAGTTTTCAATGAATTACCAACAACTGATCCATCTCCTCTTCCACCTCCATCTCCACTGTTGGGGTTGCGTCCAATTCAGCTCATCGAAGTTAAAGCTCAAGGCAGATTTGGTGCTGTGTGGAAAGCTATGTTAAATAATGAACCAGTTGCAGTTAAAATATTTCCACCCCAGGTAGTATTTTATTTTTTTTAAAAAAAAATTGCTTTAATCTATGTTAAATGAATACAATTAATGTATTTAAAAAATTTAGGATAAGAATTCATGGCAAGAGGAACAAAGCATGTATAAACAACCTCAAATGAGCCATGAAAATATTTTGCATTACATTGGTGTTGAAAGACATGGGGAACATATGCAAGTTGAATACTGGCTTATAACTGCTTACCATGATAAAGGATCACTTTGTGATTATTTAAAGGTATTATTTAATGATTATAATTGTTACAATAAAATATTTTCTTGAATTTATTGTTTTTACAACTTTAATAAATATAGTAGGCTTTTTCATTAATCAGACCACATATTACTCTGGAACAGTTCTTATTCTTTCCCCTTTCTCTTTCAAAGTTGTGAATTTATATTTTAGAATAATATCCTGCATATTGGTATGCCCATTTTTTCAGACTTTACAATTAGTTAGCAAATTTAATAGTAATTAATTGGATGAAAGTTCTAAGTGACATTTTAGTGGATTTGAAAAAATTAGCGTTGAATTATTGTTTTACTCTTTTCTTTTTTTACTTACCGTAATTTTGCAGAGATACGGCGCGGCGTTATTGATTTAGAGCTTGAAAATTTATTTGGAAGGCGTATCTAAACGGTTCAGCCTATATTAGGGGTGCACAACCTGCGGCCCTTTGACTACTGAAGTGCGGCCCGCGAGAGCTTCTGAACACAATAAAAAAAATTTAAAAAATGGCAATTTTTAGTCGCCCTTTTAAGTCATCATGTTTTGACACAATCAATTTTTACAGATTCTTTAGTAAATGTACGTTTAACCAGTGTTTTCACTACAGCGCGAGAACGCGAGATTCTCGCATATTTTTTTATATTCTCGCATTAAAAAATGATTACCGCGAGAAATTCGCTCGTTCTATAAACCAATTTCAAAATTCGCGAATTTCTCGTATTTTGAAAAAAATTTCTCATTTGCGCCATTTAGAATAAAATCCGTTTCACTTTTCTTCCTGGATCTTTCATTATTTTCAACATCTGCCCCATTATCTAGCTTTTCCCTATTTACCAGTATTGTTCAGAACCTTTTCGAACAACAGAACACAACCACGGAACCCCTTTCAGAACACATTTCTCTGCAACCACCTGTTTACCGTAGGTAAGGTTTCTTCATGTAAGACGTTCAAATTTTTTGCTCGTTAATGTAAGATGGACAAATACCTTGTAAAGCCAATATCTTCTACTCCGAAACGGACAAACGTAGGTAGAAACGATCAAAACGAAACAAATACGCATTTGAGCAAGCTGATGAAAAAGTAGATGTAGAACATTTTCCATATGATGATGCAGCAAAAATATTCAATGCTTTAAAAATTAGAAGATGCTGAAAATGCATTATAATTAAAGAAATGATTTTTGAAATCTCACCCTGCTTTTGAGAAAGGGTGAGAAATTCTCACCCATTTTTTTTCTGAGATGAAAACACTGGTTTAACGCGCTTTCTTTAAGCCGATTTTATCGTAAATATAAATGATTTTTTTAAACAGTTATTTCCGCTTTCCTACGGGATTTTGAAAATCCCAAATTTTTATTATGACGCGAGTTTCAGACCGCAAATTTAAATAATTACTTTTTGTGCATTTTATTTGTGACGATTTCATCTTAAATCTAAGTGATTTTTTATCTTTTTTTTGCAATTCTTTCTTTTCTTTCAACAATTTTTTTCGGCAGTTATTGCTATGCGTTCCCACGTATTATAAAAAATTCCAATTATTCTATTACGACATGCAAATTTTAAATCATGCATTTGACACGCTTTATTCGTGCTGAGTTCAGCATAAATATATTTTTTCCTAATTATTTCTATACTTTTCCTCGTGATTTTGACGATCCCGTTATTTAACTATGATGTTATTACGACACGTGATTGTTAATCACGCAATTAAATAATCACTTTTTGATACGGTATTACGGTACAGTTTTATCGTAAATCCTAGTTATTTTT